ATGGCCCGCGGTGGGGACTGGTTTCTTTTCTTATTTCAGTGGATTGCAGTTTCAATGGATAACTGAGGAGGTAATCTTAATCTTCCTAAATCTTACCCTTTTCCTTAAGTATTGTATGGTTTAATTATTTGCCGTTTTTATTTTATTTGTACTTTTTTCTTTTCTTTTGGAGGGGATATTTAAACTCAACTCTATTATCACATTTTATCGTTTAGCCTGTTTCTTAACATTATTGCATGTTAACTTTAAATAGATGTATTTGCAAAATTAAGATAATAATTGTCCATAAACATGGCGTATATATATATATTTCCCGTACATACAAAAATGAAATTAAAAATAAAATAAAATAAAATAAAAGTACAATAAGCACTATAATATTCCTTAACACTGATTTAAACTATATGCAAATTTGAAGTCGTTAAATATAATAGACGACGAAATGATCTTGGAGTATATCAAGTAAAAGTTATTTTGTAATAAGAGTAAATTTTCTGCTCTATTTTTAGTTGGTAGCAGTTATACTAAGTTAAAACATAATAGATTGCTATGCTCCAAACGAAAATGCATATATCTGATGTCAATCCCACAATTGGGACACCACCTTCTCATTGTTCTTAATTTTATCTTATTTTATTTTTCCTTCCATCTTTTAACTCTGTTTTTTTATAAGCAACGTCTTCAGACTATAATTTTATTTACTATTTATTTTAGTTTTTTTTTTTCTTCAGTAGGACTAGATAGGTTCGCATCTCACCAGCTTCATTCTCCTTCCCGGTCTTTTGAACAGGAGTAGAGGTTTATCCCTTGTTTCCTGTTTAGGATATGATTTCTGGTTCCTTCTAAAGTCTTTTTCATTCGCTTTCACTCCCAGTAACCACTTGCGTTTTAGTAACTGTTGTGGATTCCGGGATGAAATCCGGTACCAATAAATAACAAACGCCAAGAATGAATATAGGAAAATAAATGTATTAACGTAATAATGCAAACTGGTAATGCAGGTTAGTAGTTCCAGGAATGCGGGTTAGTAGCAAAATATCTATACAGTCTTTGGTATTGAAGTATCGCTGTATGACTTCTTACTGAGTCTACGTGCTCGCTCACTGTGACTCTTGCTGGCGACGTTCGTTCGGCTGCTCTCGTCTCTTGGGTCTTCACGTAGCTGTATTATATATATATACTGGGTGAGTCCATTTGTGTAAAAAGGGAAGAACCCCTTAACAGTAACATTACTGCTTTACTTGGGATGAAGTGATTAAAAAGTTCTTACAGTAAAATTATTTGCAATGCATACTTACGGTAAAACCTCTTACATTTCATTCCCACAGCAAAACAATTCACAAGGCATGAATTTCTGATCCAGTCACTCATTTTTTATGATTGTCAGTTCATTTTTATTGTAAAATCATTTACAATGCATTCTCAGAGTAAACGTGTTTGCAATGCTTTTTATTGTAAATATATTAGCAAAACATTTATATTATACATATAAGAGCCCTCTTGGATTACGTATTGACCACTGATAATAATTTTATTCTTGATGTTCTATTGTAAAATCATTTACAATGTAGCTTCATCATAAAAACATTCACAATGCATTCTTATACTAAAATCATTTGTAATGCATTTCCATAAAAAAAAAATCACTATGCATTCTCATTATAAAAATATGTGCAAGACATTTCCTTAGTAAAATCATTTACAATGCATTCTAATAAGAAATAATTAAAAATGCATTCTTATAAGAAATAATTTACAACGTATTCTTATAATAAAAACATTTGCAAGACATTCCCTTAGTAAAATCATTTACAATGCATTTTTATAGTAAAATCATTGTTGTGAATAATCAAGAGTAGTCTCCCCTTGTTTCTTTAATCTCCTCTTTGAGAGAGCTATTTATGTTTACTGGGACTATAAAATGACACTATACGCGAACCTTCTCAGTTGAATAAAGCTTTCGTAAAGTCTACACCTGTGTACCTTTGTCATTGCAATCTTTTACAATACATTCTTATAGGAAATCATTTACAATTCATTCTTATAATAAAACCATATGCATTCGTATGCATCCTCCAATTACAACCATTTGCAATGCATATCCATATTAAAATAATTTACAATGTATTCTCATAGGAAAATCATTTACAATACATTCTTACAGTAAAATCGTTTACCATAAAATTACTTGCAAAGCTATCGTCTCGTAAAATCATGAGCAATGCATTTGCATATTCAGCAAATAACACTTGCCTTAATTCCTGGTCACTGAAAATTCTTTGTCTGTGATTTTATAGTATAATAAAAAAGTTATAAGAAATGCATTTACATTATATATCGAATATTAATTTCTCAATAATGCTTGCATTAATTCCTCACGAATGACAATCATTTTCTTTCAATTATTTTATAATGTAGAATACTTTACAATACATTACTATAGAAAAAATATTTGCAATCATAAAATAATTATATGTAAATGTACTCATCCTTCGGCGACGTTTGCATTCATTCCTGACTTCTGACCCTCAATATTACCATATCGTCAATGCAAAACATTAAAAATTGGTGCTGGAACTTATAAAGGATGTTCCAATAAATTGGGCCGATTTTAAATGTGAATTAAATTTAAGCGTCTAATGATTTTTTTCTTCTTCTTTCTTTGTTAAAATTTCAAGGATGCAATTGGAAAAATTGTTCGTAACTGGGTCGGTGGCAGATGTGAAAAACACCATTACGTGCTCGTTTATGCCGTTCAGCTGAAAACATTGCTGCAGTGCACAAGAATGTGGCCGACAGTCCAGACACCTCTATTCGTCATCGCGCGCAGGAATTGAACCTTTTCACAATAACGTTACATCGTTTCCAATTGCACTCTCGAACGCAAAATGCATTTGTTTAAACGTCCATTTTCGTAATAGGCTTCGATAACTTTAACACGTTGTTTGATTGTTAATCTTTCCTTGGTTGAAATTGCCAAAGTTAAATCTGAAAGAAAAAGAAAAATATCATTAGACGCTTAAACTTAATTCACATTTAAAAGTGGTCCAGCTTATTGGAACTTCCTTTATATATATCTCTATCTATAAAAGGCAGAATGTCTATGTGTGTCTGTGTGTGTGTGTGTGTAACAAATGCACGGCCGCAATTTTCGACGGATTTGCACCAAAATTTACATGCACATGCTCCAAGTTAGTGGGAAGGCCAACACCGACTTTGCATTTCCCAACTCCCATCGATAGTGGAAATAATCGACTTTTCATGCCTCTACGGCAGTTTTCATGTAGTTTGCGGCCATTTTCTACTGGCCAGAGTGAGAGCCTATAGCTGGCTGCCACGAATAGGCAGGAAGATTCTATTGGCCAGCGTGAGAGTCAACAGCTGACCGACACGAATGTTAACTACCATGCTAGCATGCAAAAAAAATCGATAGCTGCATTGGTCACAAGTGGGAAAATCTGCATGGCACTTTACTCCAATTGGCTCATTCGCTTGCTTAAACTCAACGTTGATTCTGATTCCGCAGAAAAAAAAGTGTGAAAAAGTATTTTTTTTTCGGTTTTTCCAGTTACGGGTGCTTTTTTAAAGTTGATCGTTTTGTGTTCATTTTGTTTAGTTCTTTTTTCGTAACAGATTTAATGTTTAGTATAGAGCTTAGAAAAAATTCGCAGTGTGAGATAGGCAAGAAGTAAGGCATGTAGCAACATCAGCACGGAAAAGGGCACTCCTTTAAAAAAGGCAAGGAAGGCAAAAAATATTTTAAGTCAAGTGATAGTGATTGCTGTATGTGTCGTACAATTTTGAATCAAGCACGGGCAACGACGGGCCATGCTGCTAGTATATATATATATATATATATATATATATATATATATGTGTGTGTGTGTGTGTGTGTGTGTGTGTGTGTGTGTGTGTGCGTATAATTTACTGGAACACCCTTTTACTCAAACATTGAAATATTCTGACTTTAATCATCACGTTTTCTTCACCCTTTCCAAATTACCCTGTAAAAAAAAATGGACAAAGACAAAATTCTGCCACTTCATTCCGCGCCTAAATCAAGTGGGCCTTAAAGCTTTTTCTTCTTCTATGTGCCGTGTCTCTCCAAGACGTGGGTGACCATTGCTCTCCACAACTTCCCATTTGTAGCTCTAAGCAATGTTTTTTGGGGGTCTTAATATACCTCGCAGACGTTGTTCTACCAAGCAACTAAGACACAAGGAGTTACAAGGCGTGGAAGAATTAGGAACAGAAACGTTAATAATGAGCTGGAAAAAAGAAAAGAGTAATCAGGAGGACAATAGATATCTATTATGAGGTTGGTGCAATAATAATGTCGTTTTTCAACTTAACGTCAAAAAACGACATTATTTTTGCGCCAACCTAATAATATTGTATTTAAATTTGGAAAGATTAAAGTTGGCTGGAAAGCATGGAACCGAATGCGAAGAATTGACTGGAATCGTTGATGTTCCCATGTGCCACATTTTTGAGATTTCCATTTCAAGGATCTTGTATTTTCATAGTTTTTTTTGTTTTTTTTTCAAGATCTTCAAAGATACATTGCAATTTGCAAGGACTGCCATATCAATAAGGAGTCATTTTTTTTTTTTTTTTTTTTTGCAGTCTCTAATAAAAATGTCTGGGCATCATTATTATTATTATTATTATTATTATTATTATTACGTTTGCCAATACTGAGAATGAAGCTAACAGCTTTTATTGCAAATGTTTCGTCAAATTGAAGTGGTTATGGTAATCTGGTTGGCGTCATTTTTCTATCACCTATCGTGGCATGACAGTAACGAGACATCCTGATATTTGTCTAGCAATGGTGGTGAGTTCAAAGAAAATAAATTCACTCTTATGCCAATAGTGTAGGCGGCAATAGGCAGCCTGAATCGAAATTCGAAATTGATATAAAATAACGTTTCTTTGAATTCTATACCAGTAAAGTTTGTATGGTACGTATTTTTGTGAACCACCTGGGAGTGGAGCCCTCATGTCGATGCTGTTCGCTCATGATGTAAGCGGTGGCAAAAAATGAAAAAAAAAGCATAAGAGCGAGAGAGAGAGATAGAGAGAGAGAGAGAATGAGAGAGAATGAGAGAGATCGGTTTAATAATCAAGAAAGCTAGAGAATTTAAGAAAGAAAGAAGAAGAAAGCGAGTGGAGATAGAGAAGAAAGAAGTGATACATACTGATGGGGAAAAAGAAAGATAGTAATCTGGAGGGAGAAAAGAGTAGAAAGAGGAGAAGGAGAAGGAGCTAAGTGGGTGGAGATGGAGAAGAAAGAAGTGATACATACTGAGGGGGAAAAAGAAAGATAGTAATCTGGAGGGAGGAAAGAGTAGAAAGAGGAGAAGGAGAAGGAGCTAAGTGGGTGGAAATAAAGAAATGATAAATACTGCAGGTGGGGGAGATAGTAACTGGAGGGAGGAAAGAGTAGAAAGAGGAGAAGGAGAAGGAGCTAAGTGGGTGGAGATAGAGAAGAAAGAAGTCATACATACTGGGGAAAAAGAAAGATAGTAATCAGGAGGGAGAAAAAGAGTAGAAAGAGGAGAAGGAGAAGGGAGCTAATGTGGGTGGAAATAAAAGAAATGATAAATACTGAGGGGGGGGGAGATAGTAACTGGAGGGAGGAATGAGTAGAAAGAGGAGAAGGAGAAGGAGCTAAGTGGATGGAGATAGAGAAGAAAGAAGTGATACATACTGAGGGGGAAAAAGAAAGATAGTAATCTGGAGGGAGGGAAAAGTAGAAAGAGGAGAAGGAGAAGGAGCTAAGTGGGTGGAGATGGTGAAGAAAGAAGTGATACATACTGAGGGGGGAAAAAGAAAGATAGTAATCTTGAGGGGGAAAAGAGTAAAAAGGAGAAAGGAGCTAAGTGGGGTGGAAATAAAGAAATTATAAATACTGATGGGGGGGGAAAGATAGTAACTGGAGGGAGAAAAGAGTAGAAAGAGGAGAAGGAGAAGGAGCTAAGTGGATGGAGATGGAGAAGAAAGAAGTGATACATACTGAGGGAAAAAAGAAAGATAGTAATCTAAAGGGGGGAAAAGAGTAGAAAGAGGAGAAGGAGAAGGAGCTAAGTGGGTGGAGATGGAGAAGAAAGAAGTGGTACATACTGAGGGGAAAAGAAAGATAGTAATCTTGAGGGGAAAAGAGTAGAAAAGGAGAGGAGAAGGAGCTAAGTGGGTGGAAATAAAGAAAAATTATAAATAGGGGGGGGGGAAAGATAGTAACTGGAGGGGAAAAGAGTAGAAAGAGGAGAAGGAGAAGGAGCTAAGTGGATGGAGATGGAGAAGAAAGAAGTGATACATACTGAGGGGGAAAAAGAAAGATAGTAATCTGGAGGGAGAAAAGAGTAGAAAGAGGAGAAGGAGAAGGAGCTAAGTGGGTGGAGATGGAGAAGAAAGAAGTGATACATACTGAGGGGGAAAAAGAAAGATAGTAATCTTGAGGGGGAAAGAGTAGAAAGAGGAGAAGGAGCTAAGTGGGTGGAAATAAAGAAATTATAAATACTGCAGGGGGGGGAGATAGTAACTGGAGGGAGGAAAGAGTAGAAAGAGGAGAAGGAGAAGGAGCTAAGTGGATGGAGATAGAGAAGAAAGAAGTGATACATACTGAGGGGGGAAAAGAAAGATAGTAATCTAAAGGGAGGAAAGAGTAGAAAGAGGAGAAGGAGAAGGAGCTAAGTGGGTGGAGATGGAGAAGAAAGAAGTGATACATACTGAGGGGGAAAAAGAAAGATAGTAATCTAAAGGGGGGAAAAAGTAGAAAGAAAGAAGGAGAAGGAGCTAAGTGGGTGGAGATGGAAAGAAATTGATACATACTGAGGGGGAGAAAGATAGTAATCTGGAGAGGGAGGAAAAGTAGAAAGAGGAGAAGGAGAAGGAGCTAAGTGGATGGAGATAGAGAAGAAAGAAGTGATACATACTGAGGGGGGAAAAGAAAGATAGTAATCTTGAGGGGGAAAGAGTAGAAAGAGGAGAAGGAGAAGGAGCTAAGTGGATGGAGATAGAGAAGAAAGAAGTGATACATACTGAGGGGGAAAAAGAAAGATAGTAATCTGAAGGGAGGAAAGAGTAGAAAGAGGAGAAGGAGAAGGAGCTAAGTGGGTGGAGATGGAAGAAAGAAGTGATACATACTGAGGGGGAAAAAGAAAGATAGTAATCTTGAGGAGGAAAAGAGAAAGAGAAGAAGGAGAAGGAGCTAAGTGGATGGAGATGGAAGAAAGAAGTGATACATACTGAGGGTGAAAAAGAAAGATAGTAATCTTGAGGGAGGAAAGAGTAGAAAGAGGAGAAGGAGAAGGAGCTAAATGGATGGAGATGGAGAAGAAAGAAGTGATACATACTGAGGGGGAAAAAGAAAGATAGTAATCTTGAGGGAGGAAAGAGTAGAAAGAGAAGAAGGAGAAGAAGCTAAGTGGATGGAAATGGAAAGAAAATGATAAATACTGCAGGGGGGAGATAGTAACTGGAGGGAGGAAAAGTAGAAAGAGGAGAAGGAGAAGGAGATAAGTGGGTGGAGATAGAGAATAAAGAAGTCATACATACTACTGGGGGAAAAAAGATAGTAATCAGGAGGGGGGAAAGAGTAGAAAGAGGAGAAGGAGAAGGAGCTAAGTGGGTGGAAATAAAGAAATGATAAATACTGAAGGGGGGAGATAGTAACTGGAGGGAGGAAAGAGTAGAAAGAGAAGAAGGAGAAGGAGCTAAGTGGGTGGAGATGGAGAAGAAAGAAGTGATACATACTGAGGGGAAAAAGAAAGATAGTAATCTGGAGGAGGAAATAGTAGAAAGAAGGAGAAGGTGGAAATAAAGAAATGCTAAGTGGGTGGAGATGGAGAAGAAAGAAGTGATACATACTGAGGGGGAAATAAAAAAGATAAAAAGATAGTAATCTGGAGGGAGGAAATAGTAGAAAGAGGAGAAGGAGAAGGAGCTAAGTGGGTGGAGATGGAGAAGAAAGAAGTGATACATACTGAGGGGAAAAAGAAAAGATAGTAATCTGGAGGAGAAAAGAGTAGAAAGAGGAGAAGGAGAAGGAGCTAAGTGGGTGGAGATGGAGAAGAAAGAAAGAATAAGGGGGAAAAAGAAAGATAGTAATCTTGAGGGGGAAAGAGTAGAAAGAGGAGAAGGAGAAGGAGCTAAGTGGATGGAGATAGAGAAGAAAGAAGTGATACATACTGAGGGGGAAAAAGAAAGATAGTAATCTTGAGGGAGAAAAGAGTAGAAAGAGGAGAAGGAGAAGGAGCTAAGTAGACGTAGTAAAAGAGAGTAATTGTCATTTGCATATCTTATGCTAATATTGTAACCACTAACATAAATCCTGGTAGGACTTCCAATTCTCCCAGAATCGCTTCACTATAGTTTTAACAAGTCCCGTAAGAAGATATCCTTGTCACTCCATAATCGTAAGACATTCTTAAAATATTCCTTTACTAAACACACCTCGCTATATCATAGCCTCCATGAACATTTACTAGGACACGATTAAAGTGTTTGAAATGTTAAAAAGGATTTAGCTAATACCAGTACTATTGCTACTATAACAACTGAGTCATCATCTTGAATATTAGCTAATGCACAAATAAAAATAACGTGCCCATAGCAACAGCATTTTGACCGACCGGAGCGTTTTAATGAAATGTTAACGGGAATGCAATTATTATTCACACGACACGAAACAAAATTAGAAGAAGTGGGAAAAATTATGGAAGGCTATAAAAGAAACATTAACCTTGAATGTTGTCTTTTTTCAAATCTTTTTTTGTTTTGTTTTGTTTTGTTTAATCGTATATTTATTTTTAATATTTTTTTTAATATTCACAATGCAACAGGTGGCAGCACAGAGTAATATCAAAATTCAGAAGCAGTTTCAATGTTTTTAATATTGACAGAATTTCTCTGCCGTTTTCACAACCATTATTATTATTATTATTATTATTATTATTATCGATTTCTGATATGGTCACACTACCTAACAAGTCTTCAGGGAGACTCAAGGCCGGTAATAGTATATTGTTATGGCTACATTTTGATCAAAGTTTTTCCTAATGTGTGGCAGCACTTACCAACATAATTTTTTGTATTTCTCTTAAACTAGGATTTCTAGAGGTTTTTTTTTCCAATATGTTGTTGTGTTCCTTTTTTATAATTCCAAGCGCACCTATGACTGATACTATTTTTGTTTTCAATTTTTCATATTTTTTCTATTTCGATTTCCAGGTCATTATACTTCGATAGATTTTCAAATTCCTTGCTTACAGTCCGCTGGGCCATATTAATTAGTAGTCATTTGTTTTTTCGTTACAGTTTTTTAAATTTATGTCCGGCCTATTTGCTTCAATCTTCCTGTTTGTAAAGATTCTATTGTGATGTCTTCTATTTCTGTGACCGGTGCTGGGTGATATTCATACAAGTGTTTATTAACATCTTTTCCAAAATCTTTGCTCATTGGCCAGTGTAAGCATTTCCCCATTCAATCGTAGCGATTTTTATATTTAAAAATATCCTGAGATTAGATAATCTAGGATCTCTTGATATTTGTCACAGAACCTGCATTTTGGATCCACACTGATATGTATGATATTGACCTGAAAATTTCTAATGAAAATACTCTAGTCCAGATGCTCTTAACCATCGATGAGTCTTAACTTTATCATTATCGGCTTTATTAGAACGTTCTGGATATTAGCCATTCAAAAGTTTGTCATGCCAGCGTTTGTTTATTACTACTACTACTAATACGACTATGTCAATATACTTCTTGAATTTCTCGTCTTTTATGACAATATCAAGTGTGTCGGCTTTTTACCCTGTAACGTCATTAACATTCCATAAGTTCTTCTTAGTGTGTGAGCTGTATTTATCAAGTGGAATCTACCAGAATGTACTTGGACTGCTGTCGTTAAATACCCAGAGTCAGTCAGAGAAGCAGAGCAGAGATTGTGATTGAGTTGGAGGTAGAGTAATAGTGTGAGGTAACCGCTTGTAGAAGCCACAGTTACAAGCGCGTAGACTCTAAGGAAGTCCTACTGCGAGACTGGATTTACCAGACTGTGTATATATATTATTATTGCTACTAACCACGTTTCTGGATTTACTAATTATATTACCAATTGTATTATTGTGTAAATACATTTATTTGTTATATTTCATTCCTGCGTTTGTCATTCATTGGAGACCGAATTTCATCCCGGAATCCACAACAAACACAATGTTTGTATTTCTCTTAAGTTAGGTATTTCCAGAGATTTTTTTTTTCAGTGTCTTGTTGTGATCCTTTTTTTATCATTCCAAGCGCACCTACTATGATAGGTACTATTTTTGTTTTCAGTTTCCACATTTTTTCTATTTCGATTTCCAGGTCTTTATATTTCGATAGTTTTTCCTTGGTTGCTATGTTACAGTCCGCTTGGCAAGCTATATCAATAAGTAGGCAAGGTTTTATTTTTTCGGTTTTTGACAATTACGTCCGGCCTATTTGCTTCAATCTTTCTGCTGTAAAGATGGTGTAATCCCATGGAATTGTCATGTCTTCTATTTCTTGTGAAAAGATTTGGGTTTTATGCTGCAAGAATAAAGCTTTCCGTTTCCGCCTTTAATCCGGATGCTGATAACCATCGATGAGAGGTAACTTTATCAATATCGGTTTGATAAAAACGTTCTAGATATCGGTCATGCAGGGATTTGTCTTGCTAGGGTTGTTTCATCTGTTCAAGAGCTTCACCTTTGGCTTTCTTTTTCATAATTTTGCTGTAAAAAGGATTTCATGGATTCTGTTTTGGTTTTCTACAGAATCTGTCAAATGTAAATCTCATTTGTATTTGCAAGCTTCTTTCATGGATAAATATTTTTATTTTCTTTCTGTTGTCTTGTTGTTTGACTAATTGTATCGTGGGGTCCTTTGTTGTTAGTCCTTCGTCTGTTAGTAAGCCAGTCGTTGTTGTCTTCTATGGCATTATTATTATTTTTTTTATTTTCTTTGATTTCTGGCGTTTACACATTTCTTTCCGGGTCCCGCTCAGGGACCTAAGGTTAAAAATGGCGTCATGACACTTTCCACTGACAAAAAAAAAAAAAAAAAAATTACATAGATAAAGCCCTTCGTAAAGTGTGGGCTGTACTTGTCAGAACAATTTTTTGTATCTCCTTGAGGCATGGGCTTCCAGGAATCCCTTCAATTAGTCTACTGCAATCTTTTCCAACCAGCCATAGGGCTCCAACTACAACAGGGATTGTTGATGTTCCCATATGCCACATTTTCGAGATTTCTATTTAAAGGTCCTTGTACTTTGACAACTTTTTGAATATCTTCAAAGATACATTGCAGTCAGCAGGGACTGCCATATCAATAAGGAGGCACCGTTTTTGTTTGTAGTCTTTAATAACAATATCTGGCCGGTTGGCCTTGATTGTTCTGTCAGTGTGTATTGTGTAATCCCATAGAATTGTAACAGGTCCTATCGCCGTAACCGGGTCTGGGTGGTGTTCATACCAGTTTCTTTCAGTTTCCTTCCCGTAGAAGTTGCAGATTTTCCAGTGCAGATATTGGCCCACTCTGTCATGTCGGGTTTTATATTCAGTGGGTGCCAACACTGTACAACCTGATACAAGATGATCATTATTATTATTATTATTATTATTATTTTATATCCTTTGATTTCTGGTGTCTACACATTTCTTTCCGAGTCTCGCCCTTGACATCATGACATTTTCCATCGAACAATTAAGAAAATAAAAAAATTAAAAAAACACATATTTTACATAGATAAAGCCCTTCGTATTGTGTGGGCTGTACACGTGAGAACAATTATTATTATTATTAGTAGTAGTAGTAGTAGTAGTAGTAGTAGTAGTAGTAGTATTTCCTTTGATTTCTGGTGTGTATACATTTCTTTCCGGGTCCCGCCCAGAGACTTAAAGTCACAAATGGTATCATGACATTTTCCATCGACCAATTAAGAAAAGAAAAAAAAAACATATATTTTATACCGATAAAGCCCTTTGTATGGCGTGGGCTGTACTCGAGAGAACAATTATTATTATTATTATTATTATTATTATTATTATTATTATTTCCTTTGATTTTTTTTTTTTTTTTTGTATAAACATTTCCTTACGGGTCCCAACCAGAGACTTAAGGTCAGAAATGGCTTCATGACATTTTCTACTGATCATTTTTCGAAAAATAAATAAGTAAATAAAACATAATATACATTTTGCATAAATAAAGCACCTCTTTATCTGCGAGCTGTAATTTTTTGTATCTTTTAATGTATCGGCTACCAGGAAACCCTTCAATGAGTCTATCGGAAACTCTTTTAATCAACCCGAGATCTACAACTACAACTAGAATTATTCATATCCCCATGTGCCACATTCTTTAGATTTACGCATCAAGATACTTTTATTTTGATAGCTTTTTGAAGATCTTCAAAGATACATTACAATCTGTAAAGACTACCATGTCAATAAGAAAGCACACTACTTTAAATATTTCTTTTTAATCTGCAGTTGTTTTATAATCCAATGACCTAGGATAAGCGAAAGAGGTGATATTTTGCTCTTTCCACTTAAATAAACAAAAGACAGCTACTAACAAAATAAACTTAAAAAGACATGGGATTTTGTTGATTTGTCGTTGAGTTCCTTTCTTTATCAGTCCCAAAGCTCCAAGCACAACAAAAAAAGATTTAGTTATTAAGTGCCACTTTTTTCTTCTATTTCCATAAAAATACAACTAAACAAAACCTTAGCAAAACTAAGCCGATACAAAAAAAACATGGAGATATTTTTATTTGTGTCAGTTATATGTCATTCGTGATACACGCTTAGGCGATCATGTATCTTTCGATACATGACTGACAAGGCAGATTTTTTCCCGCAGTATATTTACTTGACCCCCCCCACACCACCACCACCACTGAGTCAGCTTGTGACACAAGATCAGTTTTTAACGTGGGGATCCGAGTGTTTTCACTCGGGCTACTGGTCTTAGCTGGTCATAGCTTGTCCAAGCTGGTCATATCTGGTCTAAGCTAGTCATAGCTGGTCTTGGCTTGTCCAAGCTGGTCAGAGCTAGTCTAAGCTAGTCTTGGCTTGTCAGAGCCGGTCTGAGCTAAGAGTAGACGTGATACCACCAGCAAGGATCAAAATCCTCATTGGCTACGATACCGCAGTAGGTTGCTGTTTCTTTCTCCGGTAGACTAGTTACCATCCAAGGCTATAGAACCAGGCCTGTCTTGCTATTTAGCCATAGCTGGGGGGATAAGAAAAGGATTCATACCTTTCCCAAGGGTATTAGCAGGTAAATGAATGTAATAGATTCGAGTGGAATTCGAACTCGGCTCTTCGATTCCTCAATCCGAGCCGCTATCAGCTACTCCACTGTACTTCACTTCCTTAGAAATATTATTAGGGTTCGTCCGGGATTTGAAACCGGGAACTGTCGCACCTTAAGCGAGAACCGTACCCCTAGACCAGGGGTCGGCAACTCATTCGACCCCGCGGGGCCGGATCGTGTTATAATGACGGGTCGCGGGCCAGGACGAAGGCCATTAATGAAAAAATTAAGGAAAATTACATATGCAGACCCCTTGTCAACCTAAATATTTAAAAACCATAATGAAAATAAAAATCGAGAAATCAGAAAAAACAAAAGAAAATCTAAAATTAAAAAAACACCTAAGAAAAATTACTTTTTCCTCAAGGAACGTCAAAATACTTCAAAGTGAAAAAAATCAACCGAAGTGAAAATGGATGAAATTATGACGTCTAGGTTTGAAACTGTTATTGAAAATTGTTCCACAAACGAACCACACACACACACACACACACACACACACACACACACACACACACACACAACAAAAACAAGCAAACAAATACCCATACATACATACGAGTACAAATAGTTGCAAACATATACACGTACGTACATATGCGGTATCATCCACACATTCATGAGGCATGTATGTATAATGCGCGTATGTTTATCCGTCTTTAGATTTCTGCTACCTCGCATGTCAGTCCCTCCTTGGCCTTTTCACTTTATCGCTCCTTTCGCTTCTGTTATCTTTTAATGTAGCCAAGGGTCATAACAAATATATATCCATTGGTAAAATAAGTCTCATGAAAGATAACTGGCAGATACTCTAATATTTTTAGTGCACTGAGATGTGTAAACATTCTATGGAAAATGACATATAACAAATTTCATTTGAAGGTCGTCTCTCATGTTAAAAATAGAGTCATTGGTAATCAGGCTCGCGGGCCGGTCAAAATGCCTTCGCGGGCCGGATCCGGCCCGCGGGCCGTAGGTTGCCGCCCCTTGCCCTAGACCAAAGAGTTTTGCAAAAACATTCCCGGAGATGTTTTTTACCATTTGCCATGTTCGCGTTCATCAACGCACACACTGTTACTTTTCTGTCTTTGATGATAATGTCTCCGCGCGTTGCTTCTCTTATTCAGTCAGTGTTAGTAGAAAAAATCCCCAAAGATGGTAGTATCTGATCACTCAGCGACAAATTCAGGATGATGTCCATACTAATTTGCAAGTTTTTTTTTTTTGTTTTTTTTTTTTATCCCATTGACGGGGTTGTCAAGGACGAAGCATGTGAGCAACGAAGAAGTTTTAAGCAAAATTGGACCAAGCAGGACGCTTAAATCGAATCGGAAAGGGACCGATAAACCTTCTAGGACGCATAATGAGGAAAGAGGACTTGGAAAACCTGACACTCACACGGCATATTAAAAGCAAGACAGACAAAAACAGCAATCTACCATAGATTCTTATACCCATCATGCTCACTATGGTTGTCGTACTTTCAACCTCTCGGTCGGTGTGCTCTCCGGGCTTCTTCAAGTGCCGTATTCAGCAGCCTTCTTGTAGTTTCGAAGCGCACCAAAGGCTTAGTGGATCAAAGCGTTAATCGCTAGTTCTCTAGTAAATGGATGGCAGAACAGGGAGGAGAGGAGAAAAATATTAAAAAGAAAAAAAACCTTACAAATGATAGGAAGTTGTCGAGAGCCATAATTCTCTGTGTCCCTGGAGACACGCCATAAAGAAGTAGTAGTATTGATTGTTATACCCATGCTCACTGTGGTTGTTGTATTCTCAATATCTCGGCCGGTATGCTCTTCAGCCTTCTTCAGGTGTCTGGAGTTTCGAAGCCTACCATATACAGTTCTACCACCTGACTCTAAGCTCTCGTACAGTCCCAGCTCGACACGTGGCTTTGTCACTTAGAGAACTGGCGATTAACGCCTTGATCCACTAAGCCTTAGTGGATTAAGATATTAATCGCCAGTGCTCTAGAAGTTGTGAGTTCAATCCCTGTGTCTGGTAGTGTTCAAAAGAAATTGTCGAAGAAATAGAAAAGCGACCCGAAAGTCAATAAGTTGGTGATACAATATATCTCTGAAAGCAAGACTCTAGCCATATTAGTAGAGAGAAGAATGAGAAAAGGACAGTCTCGTTCGACATTTAAAAAAACAAAAAAAACAATTCGTAAAATGAAGAATGAGAAAAGGACAGTCCCGTTCGACAAGGAAAGAACCAATTAGTAAAGTGAAGGATGAGAGAAGGACAGTCCCGTTCGATGATAAAAGAACAAATTTGTAACGTGGAGAACGAGAAAAGGACAGTCTTGTTCAACAATAAAAGAACCAATTGGCGCAGAGTTGAATGAGAAAAGGACAGTCCTGTTCGACTGTGAAAGAACCAATTTGTAAAAAGAGGAATGAGGAAAGGACAGTCCCGTTCGACAATAAAATAACCAATTATTAGAGTGAAGAAGGAGAAAAGGACAGTCTTGTTAGACTATTAAAGAACCAACTGACAAAGAGTGGAATAAGAAAAGGACAGTCTCGTTCGACAATAAAAGAACCAATTAGTAAAGTGAATAAGGAGAAAAGGACAGTCTTGTGCGACTATTAAAGAACTAATTGGCAAAGAGTGAAATAAGAAAAGGACAGTCCTGTTCGACAATAAAAGAACAAATTGGTACAGATTGGAATGAGAAAAGGAGAGTCCTGTTCGACTATGAAAGAACCAAATGGTAAAAAGTGGAATGAGAAAAGGACAGTCTCGTTCGACAATAAAAGAACCAATTACTAAAGTTAAGAATGAGAAAAGTATAGCCCTGTTCGACAATAAAAGAACCAATTGGCACAGGGTGGAAAGAGAAAAGGACAGTCCTGTTCGCCTATGAAAAAAAACAATTAGTAAAGAGAGGAATTATAGAAGGACAGTCTCGTTCGATAGTTAAAGAACCAATTAAGTCCAACGGACCAATTAAAGGACAATCAGGTTTGACAATTAACGGAGCAATTAAAGAACTGCTCGATTCGACAATTAAAGGAACAATTAATAAGAAGCGAAACGAGAAAAGGTCAGTCTTTTTCGCCACTTAAAGGACCAATTTATAAAGAGAGAAACGAGAAAAGACACAGCTATAGGACTAATTAAATGACGGAGAAGACATCAGATCGAATTCCTTAGTGTTCCGGGGTTTTCTGGAGTTTGGCAACGATTTGTTTTTGAAATGGTAAAATCTGTTAGACGCAGGTGTTTTACAAATGCTTTTTAACTCGTTGCAAAGATGGTCGAGCGTTTTGTACGAATTGAATAAAAGTTGATAAACTTCGAAGATCAAATGAGGAGCGGATTAAAGAGATTGTAAAGAGTGATGACAGGTTGGATCAAGAAAGAGAAGAAGAAAAATAATGAAATATCAATTAAAGAAAGAAGACTGGAGAAAGATGAAAACAGATTAGAAGAAAGAGCTGAAGGAATTAAGAAGAGAAATGATGCTTGGTAGCAAAAGAATAATGGTAAAAGAAAGAAAGAAAGAAAGAAAGAAAGAAAGAAAGAAAGAAAGAAAGAAAAATAGAAAGTTTGCAAAAGAAAGTTTACAAAGAAAACAGACAGGAATGAAGAAAGAATATTTGCAAAAGTAAAAAGTAAGAAAGAAAGGAAGAAAATGAAAGTTTATGAACAAAGAAAGAAAGAAAGAAAAACGAAAAAAAGTAAGTGAAAAATATCGTTAATAAAAGAGAGAAAAAAAAAAAAAGAAAGTTTGTAAAGAAAAGCGAAAGAGAAAAAAAAAAATAAAGAAAGAAAGAAAGAAAGAAAAATAGAAAGTTTTCAAAAGAAAGTTTACAAAGAAAACAGACAAATGAAGAAAGAATATTTTCAAAAGTAAAAAGAAAGAAATATTAGAAGGAAGGAAAGAAAGAAAGAAAGAAAGAAAGAAAGAAAGAAAGAAAGAAAATGAAAGTTTATAAACAAAGAAAGGAAGAAAGAAAAACGAAAGAAAGAAAGTGAAAAATATCGTTAATAAAAGAGAGAACGAAAAAAAAAAGAAACAAAGTTTGTAAAGGAAAGCGAAAAGAAAAAACAAAAAAAGAAAGAAAGAAAGAAAGAAAGAAAGAAAGAAAGAAAGAAAGAAAAATAGAAAGTTTGCAAAAGAAAGTTTACAAAGAAAACAGACAAATGAAGAAAGAATATTTTCAAAAGTAAAAAGAAAGAAATATTAGAAGGAAGGAAGGAAGGAAAGAAAGATAGAATGAAATAAAGAAAGAAAATGAAAGTTTATAAACAAAGAAAGGAAGAAAGAAAAACGAAAGAAAGTGAAAATATCGTTAATAAAAGAGAGAACGAAAAAGAAAGAAAAATGTTTGTAAAGGAAAGAAAGAGAAATAGATAAAGAGAAAGAAAAGAATAAAGAAAGAAAGAAAAGAAAAATAGAAAAGATAGTTTACAAAGAAACATAAAAGAAATGAAGAAATGAATATTAAAAAAAGTAAAAACAAAAAAAATATTAGATGGAAGGAAGGAAAAAAGATAGAATGAAATATTCAAAGAAAAGAAAATGAAAATTTTATTAAACAAAGAAAGGAAGAAAAAAAAAACGAAAGATTTTTTAAAAAAAATATCGTTAAAAAGAGAAGAACGAAGAAATGGAGGAATAAAATGTTTGTAGAAATGAGAATGAAAAGAAATAAAGATAAAAACGAGAAAACGAATAAAAAAGAAATCTGTAGGTGGGTTTGTAAAAGAAACAAAGTTTAATTGACAGACATAAAAGAAATGAACGTATGAATCAATAAAAGAAGTCCTAATGACAGTAAAAACTTACGTAGATGACAGTGGAAGGAGACAAGCAGACACCCTAGATCAAATCTATTCAAACGGTAGAAAGAGTGAAAATTTAATGATTATGCACAGAAATAAGCGTTAGAATTTAATAATAGATTTTTTTTAAAAAATGGCTGATTTCTGCTATGGACAGAGAAGAGGAAGATAATGGAGGAATAAAGATAATCGTAGACAGATGAGAATGAAAAAGAAATTTCATTAATTTTTTTTTTTTTTTTTTTTCTCCGTTGAAGCAGACGATAATGGAAAACGTAGAAAATCTGTAGGTGGGTTCAGAAGAAAACTCAGAAAGATCTCTTCTGGGGAAAACAAAAAAAAAAAATGTGTTGTTTTGTTCCATTTTTTATAATTATAGTGCGTTTTGGTAAACAAAGAAATTGATAAAAAGTGTGGGCAGGAGAAACGAAACGAAATAAAGGTTAAATGATTAGAATGAATGATAAACAAGGTAGTTCCTCTATTACGCATTTTATTTCCTTGATGATTTATTATTATTATTATTATTATTATTATTATTATTATTATTTCCTTTTCTGTTATATAAATATTTCTTTCTGGGTCCCAACCACAAACCCAAGATGAGAAATGGCTTCATGACATATTCCACTGATCATTTTTGTAAAAAAAAACAATGATCACACACATTTTACATAGCTCTTCGTAATATGTTAGCTGTACGTGTGAGCACATTTTTTTGTATTTCTTTGAGGCATGATTTACCAGGGATCTCTTTAATGAGTCTATCGGCATTATTACAATCAATCCGAGGGCGCCAATACAACTGGAATTATTGAAGTCCTCATTATTATTATTATTTTATTTCCTTTTATTTCTGGTGTGTACATATTTCTTTCCGGGTCCCGACCAGGGACCTAAGGTTAGAAATGGCATCATGAAATTTTCCATTAACCAATTTAAAAAAAAAACAAAAAAAAAACATATTTTACATACATAAAGCCCTTAGTAAGGTGTGGGCTGTACTCGTGGGAACAATTTTTTTTTTGTATTTCTTTAAAGATTTTTATTATTATTATTATTATTTTTATTTTCTTTGATTTCTGGCGTTTACACATTTCTTTCCGGGTCCCGCCCAGAGCCCTAACGTTAGAAATGGCGTCATGACACTTTCCACTGACAAAAAAAAAAAAAAAAAAAAAAAATTACATAGATAAAGCCCTTCGTAAGGTGTGGGCTGTACTTGTCAGAACAATTTTCTGTGTCTCCTTGAGGCATGGACTTCCAGGAATCCCTTCAATTAGTCTACTGGAATCTTTTCCAACCAGTCCTAGGGCTCCAACTACAACAGGGATTGTTGATGTTCCCATATGCCACATTTTCGAGATTTCTTTTTTAAGGTCCTTGTATTTTGACAATTTTTTGAATATCTTCAAAGATACATTGCAGTCAGCAGGGTCTGCCATATCAAAATGAGGCGCTGTTTTTGTTTGTGGTCTTTAATAACAATATCCGGGCGGTTGGCCTTGATTGTTCTGTCAGTGTGTATTGTGTAGTCCCATAGAATTGTAACAGGTCCTATCTCCGGAACCGGGTCTGGGTGGTGTTCATACCAGTTTCTTTCAGTTTCCTTCCTCTAGAATTTGCAGATTTTCCAGTGCAGATATTGGCCTACTCTGTCATGTCGGGTTTTATATTCAGTGGGTGCCAACGCCGTGCAACCTGATACCAGATGATCAATCGTTTCTGGATATTTATCACAGAATCTGCATTTTGGGCTGACACAATATTTTAGTATATGTGCTTGATAATTCCTAGTTAGCAAGCATTGGTCCTGCGCAGCAAGGATAAAACCTTCAGTTTCAGCTTTCAACCCTGCACTACGTAGCCACTGATGGGTACGGGTTTTGTCTACGTCAGCTTGTTTGGTACGGGCGGAGTATTGGCCATGAAGCGGTTTATCTTGCCATCGCTTCTGTAACTGGTCGGTTGCATTCGTCTTTGCTGTCTTTTTTTAGGTATTTTTTAGTTTCAGCCGGTGTATTGTGCTTTATTTCTGCACTCATTTGAAACTCCATTTTGAATTTGTTGGCTTCTTTCATTACGAAGTAAAGACGCTTACTACTTTCATGTTCCTTGACGCATACCATCATCCAGTCTTCTGTAGTTTCCAAATATCTTTGGAGGCCAATTGTTGTAGTTTTGTAGGACAGTTCTAGTTGAACTAATCCTCTACCTCCTTCAGATCTGGGCATATACAGATGATCAACATCAGCTTTGGGATGATGCATGCGATAGCAAGTGAGAAGCTTTCTCGTTTTGGCGTCCATTCGCTTAATTTCAGCTATGGTCCAGTTAAGGACATTAAAGCTGTATTGCACCACAGGGACAGCCAATGTGTTTATGGTTGATATTCTATTTTTTGAGTTTAGCTCAGTGTTTAGTACCAGACGTACACGCCTATAGTACTCTTTTCTTATTTTTTCCTTCATTTGGGGGTGTTGTATGCCATCTCCTTATTATTATTATTATTATTATTATTATTATTATTATTATTATTTTATTTCTTCGATTTCTGGTGTGCACCCATTTCTTTTCCTAAGGTTAGAAACGGCACCATGATAGTTTTCCACTGACGATATTATATATATATATATATATATATATATATATATATATATATATATATATATATATAACATAGATAAAGCCCTTCGTAACGTGTGGGCTGTACTTTTGTATTTCTTTAAGGCATGGGGCTTCCAGGAATCCCTTCAATGAGTCTACTGGAATCTTTTCTAAACAATCGGAAGGCTCCAAATCGATGTTTAAACAAAATGATTGATGTAACCGCGTTTTAGTTGCATTCCCTTCACGCCAGACGAACCCCATTCACTTTATCGCGTTGATTACCAACACAACTGTTTTTATTTCCCAAAGACAAGCGACGTTTCTACAAAGACTTGTTTTTATATTTTTATACGCGCGTCCATAGCTTTGACACAACTTGAAGAGGACAGACGTAATATCGAAATATTGTTAAATATTTTTTTTTTCTTTTCTTGTTTTCTAATGTTGAGCTTTTTCTTTAAATGTTCTAAAAATTGGAAGTGTTATGTCAATCGTTATTAATTTTATTTTATTTCCTTCGATTTCTGGTGTACACATTTCTTTCTTTCCCGCCCAGAGACTTAAGGTCAGAAATGACGTCATGACATTTCCACTGACCAATTTAAAACAAAAAACAACAGACATCTTTTACACATTTTGAAACGTGTCGGTACTCGCAAGAACAATTTTTTTTTATATTTCTTTAAAGCATTGGCTTCCAGGAATCTCTTCAATGGGTCTACTGGAATCTTTTCTAAC